AGTGCTCTTACATGGAAGGCCTTGTAGAGTTATATGTAAAAGTTTGCTCATCTCTTGTCAAAGTACGTTGTGTGGATTTTCTTAGTTAAAAAAAAAGTTAACACATCCTCTACAGAGAACACTTCTGCAATTATTGCTGTTTATTTGATGAATTTAAAATTTAAGAAAAAATAAAAGACAAAACGTGCAAATGTTATGGCGCATTTTATATTTTAAGTTTTATTTTTTCCAATATGTTTAACTCAGCAAGCTTGTCAAGGATGTATTAACTTATTTTTTAGATAGAAAACAAAACATGTAATTTGACCTGTAAGTACTACATTGTGTCAATATACAATAGAAATGATTGTATTAAATTATAATAATGCAATAATAATGCAAAAAAAGACCTGAAAAATAACTTTAATAAACAGCTTATGTTTGTTTATTTCCGCTTTGAAGAGCTCTCGAAAAAAATTTATGTAAACAAAATTATTAATTCTCAATCACAGTGAAATAAACTATTATGTCCTGCACAACATTTATGCACATTTTTCATTATTTTAAAGTAGCAGTGTATCAGCCGAGAGGCCTTTGTTTCATTTACTTAATTACCTATTCAAGGATGTTTTGTTCGTCTAACATTATGCATTTGCAGTAAACCACCTTCAGTCGTTAAGCCGCATGGGCCTTGTGGTCTGAGGCCTCCCTAAGATCAAGGCAGTCAGATGCCCCTAGGCACTGGCCCCACTGGCCCCACTGGCCCAATCATAATCCATTCCATGCAGCTGTATGGCTGCTATAATCCATGTTCTTTCTGGACAGTGCTTTATTTGCTTGACAACAAGATCAAATGTGACACTTTATTTTATTTGGCACATAGATACTTAACATATGCTAATTCAACTGTCTAATAAGGAATGTGAAGCAAGCTTCATTGCCTCTATGTACTAAGCCAAGTGCTTATCATCATCATCATCCTCATTATCATCATCATCATTATTATCAACACCACCACCATCATAGACAACAACTACAACAACAACAAAAACATAAATAGTCATTAAGTTGCTCTAAACTTAATTAAATAGTCCATTCTAACCGTCACATCACAAGGAAAGTCCATCCATCTAGCAGCATCAGAAACAAAGTCTGCCAGATGTTCACATCATGATAATGAATTCAGGGAGATCTACTCACCAGCCAGACTGCACTCCAGGGAGAAGCTTCAAGACAAACACAGGGATTTATTTCATTCTAGCTTAAGAAGACGATAAATCCAGTCAGGATTCAACATCATGCATGCTCTCTGACTCGCCCTCAGTGTGCTGCCACTGAAGCTTTGTGATGATATTTAAAAAGCGACTAATGTCATAACTGATCGCACAGCCTAGCGACCATCTGCTAACATGCTTCAGAACTGAATGAGAGATGGATGCAAATAAAACAAAAAGGAAGAATGAATGGAAGAAAAAAGCATCTACTTCTTCATCATTCTCAACTTTAGTATGTGATATTGTAGCGAACTCTACAACTAAGGGAAAAACATTTACCCTCTAGAAGGCTATGAGAGTGAAGGCCAGGCTGGCATTTTTCTTTAACTGAACGAGGTAAAGAGAAGAGACTAACAGGCTTTGTGGAGCTGAAACAGAAGGCATGTTCCCCTCCTGTCATCCTCACTCTATTTCTGCATTCCCTTAGAGACACCCTCATCGCAGCATCCCATCTTTGAGTTTTTACATCGCACTAGGCAAAACTGAATGTCTCTGAACTACCAACCACAGAAACAATCGATTTCCAGCCAGACTTGATGCATCAAAATGTTGCCCAAAAAAATTTAGCTCCTTTATGTGAACCTCAACTCTCTTAGAAGAGAGAGAGATGCAATCTGGTAAAAAAATATTTTTCCTTAACACAGTCATTAACAGATGGAGTCTCCACATTAAAACATTAAGGGGCCCAATATGATGGAAAAACAAATATCCTCCCTCTTTGAAATGCAAGAGTTTGATGTACTATGAAAACATTGTTAAAGTTTCAAAACTTTCCATTCACTCCCCATCCATACAGTCCATATATGATAACTAAACTTCTAAAAATGTCTGTCTTGAATTTGGCTTTTGTGATGTCACAAAAACCAACACATTTACATATTCAGCCTTCAGCAGTTTAAGTTCAGTGATTCACACTGAGGTTACAAAGAGTGTTTCAGCTTGAACTGTTTCTGAAAAAGGCACAATGTTGGACAGCCAATCAGAACAGAGTGCATTGGCAGATATGAGTCTGAACAAAAACAGGCTGTTTATCTGTAAGGTCTAAAGAGAGGTTGGAAATTGTCATGCAAAAATTATTATTATTATTATTTTTTGTAAATAACCCCCACACAAACATCGTAAGTGAACCTAAGGGGAAATATATAACACAAGTAAACTGTAGCACATAAGCCCTTAAAAACATGGACTTTAAAAAGGTGAGAGAGATTAAAGGATTAATGTGTTTGTCTGTTGTTATAGTCCTATTGCCAGAGCAGGAGATTATTGCATTATACTCAATATGTGCGGCCTACATGGACTTGCACATTTTAAATGGCAAACTATATGGTATGTTTTTGTCATAGAGATGATTTTATTTCTGAACTTCTATGAATGAAATTTGAAAGGGCCTGCCTGTGCTGTCAAATGTGGCTGCAATTGCCAGCCCTGCAATGCAAGTGATCTCACAATCTAGATGTGGTAATAATATCTGTGAACCTACCCAAATGAGATTTGCATGCATCCAAATACCATATTGTGCAGAGCTGGTAGTTTTAAAGGGGCACTCTGGCTAAAAGGAAAACTGTAACTATACTATATGTATTGTAAACATGCCTTCTTACCTCCCACAGTAGTGCCACAGTAGTTTGTAGAGTGATATTTTTTGGTTTAAAGACCAGGGAAACCCCTTTCTCATGATGTATCTTGAAGGTGGGATAGAAATTTTAAAAAACAACAAGTGTTTTGGGGTGGATACTTGAAGGTGGGGTGGGGTGGTATTTGAAATGTTCAGTTTTTTCCACTAGCTGGCAAATACAGAAGCCAGAAAGCTAATGTTGCATGAGTGATACATTAGTGGATTCCTTTACTGCAGTTGGGAGGTTCCCAAAGGTCGCATGATGTACTTACTGGGAAGTGTAGCAAGGAAACGATGATGGATGAGGGTAAGGGATGCGAAGGTAAACTGCAGAATATTACATCACATGACCAAAAACATACTAAATGCTAGGTTTATGCCAGGATGCCTAAAAGGCATTTTCTTTCAAAAAATACAAGCATGCATGGGAAAACTAACATATCCATGAATTCTAATACTTATCTTTGTTCAAGGTATGTCCAAAAACCAATTTGTGTAAAACTTTACTGGCAGCTGCCGTCCACCACTTTACTTCCAGATTACGAATTCTATTCGCTACTTGCGCAGTGACATTGTGGACAAAGTCAGGTGACAGACACATCAGCTAAAAGTGAGGCAATCCCCTACTGCCACAGAAAAATCTACCTTAATCTTAGCAAATCCACTCACATGTCTGTGCCTTCCAATGACCCTTTGCTACGCATGAATTGAATGGGGTTACATGCTAGCATAAATCCATCAATCATGTCAATTTAACACATGGAAATAAGGCAGGAGAACATTATCACAAGACCTGTACATGTGAAATGCCAAGAACTATCTTACTCTGCATGAAACATGCCCTTCCCAACCTGGAGCAATGCAAAAATAGCCTGCAATATATTAGGGATTATGTCAAATAAGGTGCGGTTCAAAAGGACCGGGTAAATCCAGGGGAGACTAAATGCAGTACCTTATGGCCTTATTGTACATGACCCTGGAACAAGATCAATTCTGTGATAAATTCTCATTACATACACTGCTCCAAAAAACAGACAGGCCTACACCAAGTAACACAAAGTTTACATTGGAACTGCTAGGTTGTTTGAGAGAAAGTATCAGTACTCCAGAGTCTGCAGTGGTGAGAAACGAACAAGTACAGAAAAATGACATTGCTGTGTTTGTGCCTCATGTAAAACATGGACCTAAAATACAAAGTAAATAACACTTATTCTGTTGACCCACCAGCGTAGAGCGAACAACACGAGAAAGACAATAAAGATCTTTCTGGGTTTTTTATCATCAATAATAAAGTCAATAATAATTTTTCCCTTACACAACATTGCAGCCAATTCATTAACCTACACATTTGTTGGTCATTCAAGGTTTCTTTAGAAAAAGCCAATGGTTCTGCTCTATATAGAACCATTTCGTGCTTAAACAATTCTTCAGATTGATGGACAATGTGTTGTAAATGGTTCTATATAGAACCTTCTTGAAAATGCTTCTGAATAGTACCAAAAATTGTTCTGCTATTGTTGTGATGCCAGGCTTATAATAGAAGAACCATTTTTGGTGCTATATAGAAGTATTATATAGTACAAAAAGGTTCTATACAGAACCATGTACAACACCTTCTCCATCAGTCTGAAGAACCATTCCACCATGCAAAGAACCATTTAAGCATGAAACTCATGATTCCAAATACACCCGTTGCCTTTACTAAAGAACCCTTGAAGAAACATCTTATTAAAGGGCGTATCTCTTTTGACATCATGCTAAAGATGACCTCTAACCAGCGCAGTGATCCAGTGATTTTGTTGATGTGAACTTGAAAGACTTTTCTGATATCCTCGGAAACTTTTGAATACGCTTCTGACTGTACCTAAAATCAGACGTGCAAATACTGAACAGAAATGTCTCTTTTTGACAGTTTACAGCTTGACTTTTCTTACATGAACGCACCGCCAGCTCTCTCATGTTATCCGTTGTCTCGTTGCTACAGCAGAGATGTGGCCCTGCGCGCGCCTCGCCCAAATCGCCTTTATTCAATCCAATCGCAGCTCGCCACTGACCGCCTCCGCGAATCACAGCGCAGCTTGCTGTAAGGCGGGGTGTCTGCTTGCTGCCATAGTAACCACCAAGCGGTGAGTGTTTTGAGAAATGTGAATAACGAACTCAGAGCTTGTAAGTAACTAACCTTTAAAACCCTTTACACGTTTCTGTCTTTCGTTCTTTAAACGAAGTATGACCTTAACCAAACAAGTTAAAGCTTTGAGTTTATGCATTATAAGACGAGCGACAGGTTGTAACGCTGACATGTAGTGAGAGAGTAAACTAATATTAGCAAGCGTGCTAACGTCAGCCTGACGATGTATATCCATTTATTGTTCTTTGCTTTTTTAGCATTTCGGTTTAAGGGGTTTTTACTCCAGTGTTGAGTGAAAATGGGCCATATTTGTTTGCTTCTTAATGACCACAGAAACTTCTAATTAACGCTATTCTACAGTTTGATAACAGGGTAAGAATAGAAGTGGCTGCATTTCACAATGCTGACCTCAAAGGTACAAGCTGCCCATTCTACTCTCCAAAGTTTACCCCTGAAGATGCCAGAAGGATTCAGAACAAAAGTAGTAGCGCCGAGAAATCCCAAGCTGGTAAAGCGTGAAGACAAAGCCAAAAAGGTGAGTCCTTTTAAAACAGATCAATAGACCTGCTCTCTACTCATTTTCCCCATCACAAATCATGGACTAATATAGTATTTTATCAATCCCAGCCCTGATGATCCTTTAGTCCTTCTTGTACCCAAGATGTGTTAGAGCACAGACACAAAACTGCAGTGCAGGACATTTTTGAGATTTACATAAATGAAACTGATGCAACACACTCTGCCATCTCAACCACACTGATCTCAGTCTGTCTTCTAAACTAAATTCACAAATATAGTCCATATCCCATCCCTCCTCTATTAAACACAAAACAGACCCTCATAAATGGAATTCTTTGAATTTCTTTTGAAATATTGTTTTAAGAATAGTGCAAAGGTTTGCATTTTTCTGTTGTCTTTGAATTATGGAAAGGACTGTATGTTTGGACCACACACAAAACTGGCAGTTGTTAAATATTAATCAGATTCCCCCTTCCATTATTCATTGATATTTGAAGTTAAAATCATTTTTGCTCCTGACCTTGAAGTATAGTAAGTGCAGTTTGATGTTTCTTCTGTGATAGACTGATGGCAGACCATGTTTAATTGCTAGAGCTAAAGCTACAATTGTAGACTCTTCTTAAACTACTTATTATGCAGATTATGACTCAGGAATTATAGCTATTTCTCTTTTTTTGCTGACTAGTATGCATACTCGTACAGTTGGAGTATAGTGTGAGAGTGTATCCTGTATGTGTGTGTACTGTACATGTGTGCATTTGCAGGCTCTGAAATGGAACTGAGAAAGTGGGGTATGCACAGCTAATGTTTACACTGATGCACTCATATACTTTCCTAAATGATACTGCCAACAAGACTAAACGTATTCACTGTTCATAGAGGAATTTATTGCAGCTTATCTTGTTACAGCTGTCTCCATCTGTGTATGCACGTATGATGTCTCAGACTACAGAACAGCGATTAGCTAATACACACGAGATACATCCACCTCATATTCTGGAGCTGTTAGACATGAGTGAGACAACGCACCAAAAGGTAAAATATCAGTAAGGCCTGTCTACTTGCTCAAACAACTTGTTATTTATTTTTTAAAGTCTGTTTGTTAACGTCCTTCATAGTAATCCTCTTCGTAGAGACTGGGGTGGTGACTCAAGCATTACATTTGAAAAGGTTACTGTAATTTTATATGCAGTGATATTGTACATACATTTATACAAAAGAGTTATTTCTGAATTATTTTTGAAAGTAGGTCACTGTTTTGAATCTCCTCCTTCCTGTGCTTGGCACTTTTTGAATGGGAAATAAACTGGATGTGACTGCGGTAATTATACAGGAGACGCCTCATTTACGAAACTTGAGAGTACAGTAGATGCACTTTTCCCATCATACCCCCTGGGTGCATTGCATCTGGTTTCTCTCTCTCTCTCGCTCTCTCCCCCACCTTTTCTTCTCCCCTCCGTTCTCCGTCTCTTTCCTTTTGCTCTATCTGTCCTGCATTTCCTGCTTCTTCTTTTGTCACACACCAACTCTGTGTCTCCCCCCTCTGTTTTTCAGCTTTTCTGTCTCCTCCCAACTGTCTTTTCTGTTTTTCTGTTCTGGAATTTTGAAGTGCCTTCAGCAAAACAGATACTTGGACGGCATCAAACCCGTTTGATGTGAAATAAGTCAAACAGTTTGTGGCTACAGACAAAAGCTGAAGGAAATTGGAGGTCTTATAGAGAAATGGCCCTTTATGTTCACTGTCCAATGCTGAGGGGTACACTTGCTTTCCCTTATGTTCCCAGTTTTCGGCTCTGGATGTGGACCAGCCTTTTTTCCAGCCTTACCCATCCGAGATTGTGTTCCAGAACTACATGCCCTCCGAGACGTATGAGGTGCCGCTGGTTTTGCGCAATAATGACAAGGTGACTTTGGCGAAGAGCTGAGCACTTTATAGCTCAGCACATGTTATTCAGTACAGTCATTTGTGCATATATCTCAAGTGTGTGTGCATATGTGTGATGATTGTTTGAGAGAGGGACATAATGAGACAGTCATTTTGTCAATAATTACAGCTCAGGAAACCCTGATTGGGTTCACTATAGTAAATGGGTTCAACAGCAATCACCTAATAAGAATAATTGAAGAAAAGGGCTAAATTATACTTAGATTCATCATTTGAATAGGAAGAATTCAGCTGCCCAGCGTTTCCCTGAAATCTACATAAGGGGTCATCTGCAGGACAAAGAGATTTATTGCCATGTTCTACAGAAAGCTACTTCCCCATCAGAAAGTCCATGACAGAGAAATCCGATGCTCATTGGAAGATCTGTACATTGTAATGATTGTGCATTGTGAGTTAGCTCACTTTAACTGACTTAACTTGTTTATGAAAATCTACTCATTGAAAACATTAATGTAGTAGAGCTAATCAATATTCTTCTGGATAAATAGAATGAGATCTCCATTTACTGTATTGCCGTTTTGGACAGTAATAGTGTGACCACTTACCATTTGGCATGAATGGCAGAAAGTGAAGAGCTACAGATATCGCTGTCATGCTTTGGTTTTGTTTTCTAAACTAGTGTGCTGTTTCACATTTACAGTTGTTGGGCCATACTGTTGAAACTAGTGATTCAATTTGACTTTTTGCAGTCCATATAGGCAACAGTACTATATTAATCATTAACATTGAGAGCATGAAAACATGAAAAAAAATAAAGTAGTGTATGAAACAAGGACAGCATCTGTTTTGGAATATGAAGCCATGAATTTCGCTCTGAAATTAAATAATTTGTAGAGCTCAGTAGTTTAGTAGTTTGTCTCTTTTCATGGCAAGTTGAAAAACACATAGCTTTTCATATGGGGAGATATGAATGAAAATTACACCACATTGTCTAAACACAGTGACTAAAACTAGAAGATGTATGTTAAGACTTGCGTTATTGCTTTAAGGGACCGAGTAATGCAGTGTATCTTCAATAACATTGTTCTGTGGCTCTTGTCCTGATCATAAAGCTAAACCAATCCCAGCTTAGGCTTCATAACTGCAGTTTGTACTGGCCTCATTATAGGAACTTTGCATATTTTAACTGCAAAGAAGTCGTAATAATTCAGAGACACTATCTACAATGAAATGATTAAACCATCACCTGGCGGTCAACCCAATTATGCAGCAGCTTATGTTGTGTTTTGTTGTTGACTATATACTTATGGCTTAGGTTAGCTCCACTTACCTCTCTCCTTCAGTTCACCTTACTGAGACAGGTATTGGTGGTGGGATGGCCACATAAAAATAATCTGAGAGTGAAGGAAACAAAAGGAAAACAGATGGTGGAAAGAAAAAAGGGAGAAAGAGGAAAATAAAGGATTTAAAATCTATATTTCATACATATAGACATTAAGGATGGTGGACAGTTTTATTGTTGGAAAATGTAGCTTAGTGCCAGAGCCCTTGTATATCTAAACTGATGTGAAATTCTGTAAAAGAAGTCATTCATAATAAATCTGCTCAATAGCTTTTCCTTTAACAGTAAAACCACAAAACCACATAACAAATCTGTGTGATAGGTGATGAGGCAGTATTGACCTGTTTGATTGCATAATGCAAAACTGCAAGCTTTCATTCTTCAGTTTTTGAATTTACACTGAAGATCTTCATTTAGATCACAAAACTTTGTGGCTCTCTGCGCTGACTGTTTTGGTGCCAGTGTGCCACATCTGGACCCTTTCAGTGTAATACCAGTTGGATCTAACAATATGAAAGGAGACCACTGATTTTTCTACATTTCTGCATAATTTAATAGTTGAGATGTAGACACATTCATTCAGAGTGGTTTGATGTTAAATAGTAGATTATAGCCTTTTTATTCACTATCCAGAACGACCAGTGAACGAGGGTTTTTAAATGCAATGTTGATAATGGTAAAATAATGGTAAATCTGAAAAAACAATTATTTGGATACTATTTTGCCTTACCCTGCATGTATGTTCCCACCATGAATAGATTTAAAAAAATATGTTTTAGGTCAAATTCTCGTTTCAAAACTTTTGCATCAAGCAGGGTATTTGTACCTATTTCATATAATAACTGTAATAACACCTGCTCAACCCATTAATCAAGTGCTCTTGAAGATTGAAGTCGAAAAAGTTGGAAATGTCCATATTCAACATGCGTATTGCATGAAGTTACTTTATAGTTTGTTTGTTCATATTTATCTAGAGCTCACGGCTTGATACATGTTCTTGTGCCCTCTGCAGATTCCTCGCTTGGTGAAAGTGGTTGAGGAAGACTCCCTATATTTCAAGGTGGTCAGTCCTGTAGATGTGTGCAACAAAGTGGCCCCAGGCATGGCCTGCACCTTCACAGTTCTCTTCACTCCAGAGGAGAACAAGGTACACTATACTGTATAGTTTCTAGATAACTTCCAGATGATGACACTGTGGTGGAATTAACAGAAGGGGTTGTGTCTTTGCATTTGAAGTGTCAGAAATCTTTTTCTGTGCAAATAAAGAAGAGTTTTGGAGGGCAGTATTTGCAGGAATATGCTTTTATTTGAAGAGAACTCTCTGTCCATCTGCAGAAACCCAGTGTAAACAGCAACTCTATTTCTCCCCAAGGCACTTCGTACACAGTTGTAAAAAACACAGTTGTTTTTTTCAGGAGAGTCAAATTCCTGTTGTAAATGACATAGTGTTGCATCAGTTACATCAACAGTTCAGTTAACTACTATTGATTACAAAATCCAGCATCAGAAACTAGAATAAAGGTCTGGATTTCAAGACTGCTGATTCGTCTGCTGCCGTCTTTTACATGTGGAGCATGCACCTAGAGAGACAAATTCTACCTAATTCTGTAGTGAAACTGTGCTAAATCCATATGTCATTGTCAAACTCACGGTGGCTGGGTTCATCAACACTAATAGTACCCTAGTTACCTCAGTTGAGATAGACACCACTTGCAATGGCACATGGCAGCAAACTTACAGGAGCCCAAAAGCTTTTGCTTGTCCTTACGTATATGTGGCAAGAACTATTGTGAAAGGAGCTGATGTATGTACTGTTTCAAAACACTAACCGAACCAACTTCAGACACCCTCCATGTCCCCTATCATTCTCACTGAGTGAGTCTTGCTGTGGTGAAACATCAATGTCAAGTCTTGCATTATGGCCTAATGCGTGGGCAAGCAATGGAGGCGCGTGCCTTGGTGAGCACGGGGCCTGTGAGACGCAAAGTTCCCACCCACGCTCATGCTCTCTCTCTATTAGCTACCGTTCTCTGGTCTGTTGTGTAGCCCCCTAATCTGTTTTTCTGTGGCGGCACATTAATACTGATTGTAGCATAGTGCCACTCTGCAGCCCATAGCTCTCAAAAACACAATCTATTTAGTGAAAAAGTCAACGCTACTCACTTTCAACAGGAAAGAAACAAGACTGGAGTGTCTTTTGAAGTCCCAGCCACAGGTGAAGCTGAAGAAATGCCTCAGCTGTAATGTATCTTTAGAACAACAAAACAACACAGTGTTTCCCATAGTGCAGTGTAATATGGCAAGTCTATTTCAAGCTCATTACATGGTCTGTGGTTTTCAGAGGGTCAAGCTAACGTTCAGATGAGGCCATGTTGGTTTTTATGACCTAATTGTCTACGATAGGCACATGAATTGAAATAAAGAGAGTAATTCCTTACATCAGACAATTATAAGGTGGCTTTGCAATGTGCAATTTCAGCTTTCGTGCAAAGGAGGTGTAGAAGTTTAAATCAGGCTGTGAATATGATAAAAACAGTACATTGTAAAACTATACTAGTACAAAGTGAGCAATTTCTTCATAATGCACTGCACTGTGATTTCTGCATATATATGTAAATATGTTTTTCCCTGTAAACACATCATGTAGAAGATTTAGTAGATTTTTTCTTTTTGATTTGATTCTAAACTCATTTACTTTAGTTTACCAGTATCACTGTGGTCTTTCCTGTAGGATTATATCCACAGACTGATTTGTGTGACTGAGAGGGAGAAGTTTGAGGTGCCCATCAGGGCAATTGGGGCACGTGCAATCTTGGACTTTCCCGACCACGTCCACTTTCCTCTGTGTCCAGTCAAGTGCTCATCACAGAGAACTCTGCTAGTGCGCAACATTGGGAATGGCGAAGCCAAATTTCAGCTCAGCACACAGAGGTAAGACAAGCGCAAAGATGATTTGATTAAAACAGAGACTGCGTTACTTTCTGCAGAGATGCATCAGTGTTGCACTGTGCAACAGTGCTGTTTCTACACACCTCAATTAAAAAAAGTTGTGACAGAATGTAAAATGCAAATAAAAACAGAAAGCAGTGATTTGTACATCCACTTTAACCTGTATTTAAACAAAACCAGTACAAAGACAAAGATATTTATGGTCATTCTGAAGTTGATGCCTGAAACATGTTCAAAAGTTGGGACAGAAGCCATTTAAGATTAAGAGTGATTTTGGATGTTTAGAAAACATCTTAAATAGGTGGTGCAATCATACCTGGGATAAAAGGGTCCTTAAGGAGCAAATATGAGTCAAGGCTCACCACTCTTCAACAAATGGGTCAGCAAAAATCCAACAATTTAAGAACAGTGTTCCTCAGTGACTGACTACAAGGTGTTTAGGCATTTCACCCTTTGATAGTACCATCAAAAGATTCAGAGAATCCATGGAAAGTTCAACTGAATGCTCATGAGCTTTGATTCCTTAGATGGCACTGCATTAAAATTAAGCATGCTTCTATGATGAAAATCGTCACATGGGTTCTGGAATATTATGATAAACAATTAATAATAAAGACCATCAGTCACTGCATCCACAGATGCAAATTAAGACTATACTATGCACAGCAGAAGCCATGTGTGAACAACGTCCAGAAAGGGCACTTACTTCTCTGGGCTTTATCTGAAATGGACTGATGCACAGTGGAAAAGTGTACTATGGTCTGGTTAGTCAATCTTCACCTTGTTTATAGAAATAATGGATGTTGTGTTCTTTGGCGCAAAAAAAGGACCATCTAGATTGTTACCAGTGTAGAGTTCAAAAGCCTGTTGTGGTATGGGGGTGTATTAATGCCATTAACCATTACTGCCGAAAGATATATACACATTTTGGAGCAACATGTGCTGCCTTCTAGATGACGTCTTTTTCATTGCAACATGACAACAACAAGCCACATTCTACTCATTTTACAACAGCAATATTGTGTAATCCGAGGGAGAAAAAGTGACAAAAGAATGGCAAAAAAAAGGCTTTCAAGACTGGATCAATTGGCATCCTTAGTCCCCAAACTATTATTACATGTTTTTGAAAGGTAAAGATGATGTAAACATTCCCGTGTTCCACCTTTTCTTGGATTGTGTTGCAGCTATTACATTTGAAATGAGCATGTATTTAAAAAAAGATGTTCAAAAGGTGAAACAACAAATAGTTTTTATACTGTTTTCAATTTAATATAGGTCCAACAGAATTTATTAATCACCACTTTCTGTTTTTATTAGTATTTCAAATGCTGTCCCAATGTTTTTAAATTGAGGCTTGTATTTGTATGTGTGAGTTTGTGTTCTGAATACCTCTGTTCCTCTTTTCCTCATAGCCCGTTTTCTGTAGAACCTCCAGTAGGGACTCTTGGTGTGGGAGAGAGCATGCAGGTGACTGTTGACTTTCTACCTACAATTACAGGAGACCACAGCCAGCAGCTACTGCTCCACTACCACACAGGTATTTACAGAGTATTTACAGCAGTTCTTTCATACAAATAATGCTGCTCCACTGTAAGGCAGGTACAGTATTGTCAGCTGTACCCCTATGCCATGACTTTATTTATTATTGATTATTTTTACACCTGTAGAGTTCCGTAGTGCAACATTTCATAGACTTCTAGGGACACACAGTTACAGTTATACTTCTATAATATACTACCTTCAATGCTTCTCCCATCAATGCCCACTGCATGTGTATGCAGCTGTACTCGCACTCCCATATTTAACACTAGGATCCCTTATACTTCCGTTCCTGCATAAGAACACAGTGTTCTTGTGTGATACGAATTGTATATCCACAATTATAGAGGTGTTTAATGTCTGTTTCCCAAACACAGCTCATTAACAGCTTGGAAGGAATCAGTAAATGTATTAGGTTTAAATCTTCAGAAAAGTCATGATTATCACTTGAATATTTAAACACCACATCACTCTAATTAACAACATTTACAAACATTAGCAGAATTACATTGTGAAAACAACTGCCCCATCAAATGAAGGGGAACAAAATGGATGTATCTGTTTATGAGTAGCAACATGGAATTACAGCAGCAATGTTTCTTTCCAACCCAGCCCTGCGGCTAATGTATTAAAACAGCTGCAGTAATATGCACTGCGCTTCAGATGAAAAACTGTTAATCTTCCACTGTGCTAGCAGCAGTGCTGACTTATCGCATTATCATATCCTGTTAACTGTGGTAATGAGTCTAAACTGCTGCAGATGCTTAGGTTATTTTAGGCTTACTGTCTAACACTACCGACTTGTAGTACCTGCCCTTTAAGGTTTCTGTCTGCTGTATCGTTTGTTGTTGTGATAATGTTTGATAGTTGATTTATTGAGTTGCTTAATGGAAACAAAAGCTATTCAGGCAGACAGTTTTCCTGTTGTGTTTTGTTTTTGACGTTTTCCATCTCAGTGATGTTAGCATTTCAGGGATTGCTGGTCGGTTGCAGACAAATATGACCTTTATAAATGGCACTTCTTTGAGTGAATGGGTTTAGATGTTGATGAGATTTAGCTGATGGAAGGCTGATTGAAGGTACCACTCTGTAGCTTGGATGAAGTGTGGGAATTAAGCACTGCTGAAGGTCTAGATGATGATAAGAGCTTCTATAATAACAGTGAAGAGTTTTATCTGATCAGAGATAAGAGGTAGAGGTAGAGATTGTGTATGTGTGCGTGGATGTGTATGCGTTCTTATGTGTTCATGTGCACATGCATGTGTACTATGCAAGATTATATCCATAAGTGTTCAGCATGAATGTCCATGCACATACACTGCAGAATGTGGCTGAGCTTTGCAGGTTGTGCTCCTCTAAGGTGGCCCGCCTGTCTCAGTGCATAAACACACAGGTCTGCTGAAGGCCAGCACCATTAACATTTCATAATATGCCCCATTCTAGAAACACCACTTTGGGCCCATCAGGAGAGTATCATTTTTAATTTAGCACCTTACCCTGTCTCCTCCTCATTTATCTTTAACATTAAACTGCTCTCGAGCGGCTCCTGGTGGGCTTCCGAGCAAGGACATGGCACAAAACAGAACAGAACAGTTGCCTCCTCAACATATAGTGCTAATGGCTCTAGAACAGCTCTATCCTCTAACCATAAACATATGTAGCACATGAGATCCTGTCATGCTTCATTACAGGAGATAACTGTACAGCCCTTCATCTGTAACTGTGATAGCTGTCCTGCTACCAGGAAAGAGAAGGAATTCTGTGACCTCTCATTTTCACGTTTGCAAAATGCAATTTCCATCTTTTTTTGAAGGTTCCTCAGTTGTGCTCTTATGCATTTTTTGTCTTCAGTTACATGGATGGATATATGTTAAGATTGAAAGGTGTATGATTTACAAAATTGGAAGTGAATTAGATCTTCATAGGTGAGCAAGCAAGTCAACAGTTATGGAAGTTTTTTATTGCATCAAACATACTTTTTGTGGTTACAAATCCATGATCATGCATTTTGTCCTCATTTCCATGGCCACGTGAACCATACTGTCTTGAGTAGCCATGCTACTGGTTACCCTTCTTGCATGGCTATCAAGCATGTAAAATCGGAACATATGGGTGGAGCTTAGTAATGGCACAAATTGTTGATTGGTCAAACACAATCATCACAGATTATTTGAGGTGTCATCATTGGAATTAGATGGCCAGAATTGCTAACTATGATGCCCACATAAAACCAAACCCAGAGAAAAAAGTAAATCAGGAATTGAAGCTCCTCCATTGTTGCTACCATTGTTTGTGTTTACTGTTAACACTTTACTTGTGTGAGAAATTATATACCACACAAACTAAAGAGAACTGATTTCATGGTTCTGTTGTGTGATGGAAAATGGATACAAGTGTTCGGCCAAGGTATAGATAGTTCTAGGCTTGGATTTGCAACTGTACTGTGCTTTACTGTGCGGTGAAAAAAGGTCATTTGTGTAGGGGTATGAATTGTTTTCCCAGGAGAGGATTCTCACTTCTCCCCTTTCACTCCTCTTTGCTCACTAGCAGCTCAACAGTGTCACAGCGTTTCACACAGAGAGCCGTCAGTATACTGCCTTATTAATTAAACTTATTCAAAGTGATATCCCATTCTGCTGTAGGAATGGCCAATAGGGGCTCTGCAGAAAGAGGCTACAATAACAAGAATACAGGCATGCAATAAAATGAAGCTCTATCCTATGGATTTTTATAATTCCATTGTTTGTAAATACTACTGCAAAATAACTTCCTGTAATTTAGGACCAGCTACAGCAGCCACACCGAGTTCCAGGCTAATATAAAAGTTAGCCATGAAAATCATTTTCTATACTGTAGAGTAAACCTTTAATTTAGTATGAACGGCTAAACCGCGTAATAACTTCACTGCCTTGTTCGGTCTTCTTCATCTTAACAACTGCGCAGTGAGCTTTAAGAGGATTATGGAAGCCTGTGTAGTCCTGCTGGAAGCTATGTTTGCTTAACTACTAATAGCTGGCTATGACAAAGAGCAAGGTCTGTCCCTGCTCTGACTGGCATGGCCAAGGATGAGCTCGCTAATCCGCCCTAGATTTCAGGATGTTTTTGGGCCTTTTTTTTTTTGTTTTGCTTCATATCATCTGCCTGCTCGGCTCTTGCCTATTTACTGTGAAATATGCATGAGAAGCAGAAAAGCCCCATGAGCAGCAGAACCGCCGGCTACTGAGGGACCTTCCCCACCAGCGAGCGTGGAGTGTGTCTCCTCCTTCCTACAGTGAAAGCTCTTTCTTTTGGCTTCTCGAGGGACACTTCAGCTTCTTCAAAGCTGCCCCCCCTCAAACTACCCCATTCCCCACAACAGTGTAATGCGTTTTTTGCGAATCAGAGTTATAAATAGGCGAAGGCGTTTTCTAACTTTGCTATGACAAATAGTTTCTACTATGCAAAGTAACGTCCCTTCCATTTTTTCCATTTCGAATAAAGGCGTGCCGCGTTACTACTAGCTCCTTTGCCATTAACGCTGTTCACACAGAAGCGAAATCTCATTATCGGACGCTGCTCGGGGACGAGAGCAGCCGAGGGAGCCGCCAGCGCCTCAATCTTGTATAAATGGCAAGGCTCAGGCAGGGATAGCTAATGCAAGAAAACAGCCGCATAGTCACAAATAAAAACATATTTGTGTGATTCATACATTAAACCTAAACAAACACAGGTCATGGGGCCAGTGCCTTCAGTCTCTTGCATCTCTGTTGCTCGATGAGCAGTCTGTGCAAAACATGTCATGAAAATAGAGTGGATAATCATCAGCACATACTGAATAATGAAGCAAGTCTTCATACCATTCGCAAAATGTGTCATGCTGCTCTAAACCCGAAAGCCTTGAACTGCCGCCGCATTTGTTTTTGGACTGCAGTAATGCATGGTAATCTATGGTAATAGTGAAGTGAGCAATATATTCTCAGTTTCTCTTTCCCTCATCCAGATCTTTTTATTTGTTTGTCCTGTGCAGTCTACCTTCAGGATGATTTGCATTATGTATCTTTTCTGTGTTGCTGGCTGATTGCTGGAGCATGGTTAAATCAGCCTTCACTGCTGCAGGGTAAAACTCCTCCTCCTGCTCTAGACAGACCTGGATCCCCATGCTTTTCCCTGTTTAGAAACCTTATTATTCAGTAACTACATGGAAAAGAATGCAAAATGATTGAGCTCTTACCAAATTAAAGGAGTAATAGTCAGAATAGAATGTATTATTGCTCGTGTTACTGTTTGCTATCCAGTGTCAACCAGAGGAGGGTGGGTTCCCCATTTAAGTCTCCTCTAAAGGTTTCTTCCGTTTGCTTTTAGGGAGTTTTTCCTTGCGACTGACGCCCTTGGCATGCTCATGGGTGCTCGGACCCAAATTTTTCTGTAAAGCTGCTTTGCGACAGCGCAAGTTGTAAAAAGCGCTATGTAAATAAACTTTGACTTTGACTTAGTACAAATGTTAGGCAGTTAAACATAATGTGATAATACTTTTACACTGAAGCCCATAAAACATGAATGGGCTCTGTTGTAAAAGCAGTGTAATGATCTAATATATGTGAGTTTATGTAGAATCAACTCTTTATAATCCTACTATCATTAATATGTGAGAGGCAGAAACTGATTTTATATTCTTGTTAGGATGTGGTTATACTGCTCAGAATTCCAGTCAAAATGGCCATTAAGTACAAGTTATTGATTTTTTCAGAAGATTTCTGAGATTAGATATAAGATAATTCACCTGCATTAGGAAGAGGAAAGGAAAATAGTGTAAAAAGCAGGTTACAAAACTGGAGTTCAATAAATTATTAAAAATATGAAGAAAATGAGACTCCTAACACTGTGCAAGACCTGGTAGACAACCAAAACTGTCACCATCAGATAAACAATAAACAGTCAAAGCTTTCATCTTTGAGAGATCAAGCTCCGCTCTTGATTCAGATCAGAAAAAATTCACAGCTGTTTCTGTCCATCCTTTCA